CTCTTCTGACCGTTCTGTCGTTAATGCGCAGCCTTCTTGCAATCTCCGCAGCAAGACATCCTTCGTCCACGAGATGTGCGATTGTGGAACGGTGAGGAGACGGTCGCATTTCTCCGAGGTACTTCCACCGACAGTCGCAGTAATTTGGCTACAGTGCATGACTGACATGCTTTATTCAGAGCATATATTGCACAGCTGAAACGGGGATTTACAGGTTAGCAAGCGACGTGTGATTTGGCGGACCATACTTTGTAATCACCCTGTATATATTAGGCATTTTGAAAAATGAAATTTTTTCTACCCCAGCATGAAAATTTTGAAAAAATTCCATACTCCTGAAACATTTATAAAGCATGATTCCTGAATTTGGCTCGTCGAACTGAATCGAAAACCGATAAAATCGTGCTTTTGACAGGGCCATGGCGAAAAAATTAGGGCCATTACGAAAGAATTTTGAAGAACATTCAATGTTCTCAAAATGCTTCATATCTTAAAACTTTGATAAAGATGAATTATTTGATGAGAGTTTTTTTTTGTTCATATTTGATATATTTCTAGTTAAGTAAAAAATTCTTTCAGTTGAAATCAATCTTCCTCTAAAATTTAAATTCTATTTCGTTCTCGTCCGTTTTTCTCTATAAGTCTGTAAATATTTCATTGAAATCCGTAAAGGCTTACTTTCATCCAAACCGATCCAAAATTGCTTAGATTATCATAAACCTTGTCCTTCATGATAATTTGTAGTAGGAACACTGTACTTTATACTAATTAGGTATTACTCTTAAGAATAAAATACTGAAATCGATATCGTGCTGCTGAATGAATGAGAATAAATGACATTGAAATGCTTCCTCAAACCTGGGGATTCGAAAGGCATGGTGCATTCTGATGACTTACGCCTACGCCGTGCTCTTCCCTGGTCTACTCCCCAGACACAGGAAACTAAACCAACGGTTTTTTTTTCCTGCTAACCTTTTATTAAATTTATGAAACAGGCAAAAATTCCGGAGAAACAAATTAGCTTAAAGGCACCGTTCACAATAATTTTGGGTAATGGTAATCCAGACTATGATAAAAATGGAAGATAAGATCAAAAATAGTGCGATGAATGTGAAGAAACTGCGTGAATCGGTGTTTCCAAAGTGAAAAAAGCTTCGAAAATCCTTTAAAAAGGGGGCTGGATGGGAATGAAACCAGAAAAATGAAGAAGTGTGGGGTGTTCGGACGAGCTAAACAGTGTGTTTCACTGCGCACGTGTGAGTCCTGGTGCGAAGAACAGACAATGGTGAGCAAAAATTCATGCACTTATAAGCATAAATAAACAAAAAAACCCTAGTAGCAGCAAAAGTAGCTCCCCTTTTCCAGCCTCTGGGAGTAGGAAATTGAATAAGGGATCTTGGCAACAAAAAGAAAAACAGAGGAAGAAAGAATGGGAGAAAAACGTCGTCTCATCACTCGGCGATTAGCTGATTGTGCGTGGGTCCTAAAACGAATATTCGCATTCTATATTGCCTCGACACTCGTCTAACGTGACTCCGATCGAGGGGCGGGAAAGCGAACTACGGCATCAACGGGGCTTCCACTATGCCCTGACCGTCGAGATTTCGGGAGCGAGAGGGACCCTTCTACCACTCATGGGGGTCACTGAGTATTCTCAAGGGAAGGACTCAGTAACCATTGTTATCGTGAACCGTGCCTTTAATAGATCTGTTTGCTAAAGATTTCTTCATGAGTTGTACGGTCAGATGGAAGCTTCACATTCTATGTTGGTATGTAAATGGTGATGTCCTATGTCTACAATGTTCTTGTTTAGGTGGACCCAAAGTTTCATATGAAGAAATCTAAGAAGGGCATCTTTCAGCCGGAACGGTTGTCCAAATCATTTACTTTCTGAAATCTGTTTGCGATTTTGCTTCGTCTAAGGGAATCATGTTAACAGTGATTCCGGTTTTTGGAGTCGGCTTGTTTGTGGTTGCGAAATGGGCATGCGATGTCATTAAATCTTGGGTATCAGAAATTCTAACCAAATTAGTCGCCTTTGATAATTCCTTTGACATTCACCACCTTCTATACGGTTTCTTCCAATTTTATCCCAAGGGTTTGATCGTGTGTATGAGGCTGGCAAGTGGGCCTCTCAACAACGTTCAGGTAAAGGATCGAATTTCTCTGAGACCAATCAGTACTGATCCAAGTTTTTATCCTACAATTACTTCTGATATATTCTGTCTACAGTAGCGCTCAAAAGTATTCGGCCGAATGCTTCTTCAGTGATACTTTTCAGTCGTAACTCCTTTCGTAGCAGTTCGAATTATGTGAAATTCCAATATGTATAGCATGGGTATGTTGCGAATATCTACCACTATTGACCTGCAATCTGATCGTGTCCCAGATATCCTGAAGAGCTTGAACTCGAAATCATCTGGCAATACAGATGATGTTGCTTCTAGAACTTCTTTCCTTTTTGCGAAGTCTGAAGTGTACGAGCGCTAATGCCGAACACAGTAGAGAAGAATAACGCACATAGGGGGTGAATAACTGTAGACGTCAATAACTTTGCCTTTAGCGAAATCTACTATCGTAACAAGTATTGCTCTTAGTTATGCGGATATTGATGCTTTGCAGACAAGTAGTGTTGGAAAGTGTGAAATATGCTTTAGTTAAACATATCAAAATTTCGCTCGATTTGCTCCTCTAAGAAAGAGTTATGAACGAAAAAGCGTGAAGCGTTTGGTCGAATACTTTTTAGCGCTACTGTATATCTATTTACCTATACACTCGTCTCATGCCACTAAATTTCCACCGTAATCTGTTTTGATCAAATACCATAGTCGTGTGTAAATGGTTTGCTAAGTTATACAGAACTCTTTGCCGGATTTAAAACACTGAATATAACGTGGTTGCCCTGCGCATGCCACCTATGAAGGTTTTGAGCTGCAATCAAGTGCGTGGCGCACCCTTAGCCGACGTCAACCAGTACTGTTCCCCGCGCTTTCTCGTGAAGGAAGGCTCTTGTAGTGTCCAGATAACTCTGGCTTGCTCATTGCCCTGTTGACGACTTTGGTTTTTAAAGGATTCGTCATTTTTCTCGTTCCTACAATCTGTTTCTGGCTAAGGGGAGAGGCTAGAATAGACTTAAGACAGATCGTGTTTGAGCATCCCATTCATATTGCTGCTTTAATTTCAATTTTTGTTTTTCAGTTAACGTATTCAACCGCGAGAGGAGGAATTTTTTCTTTGCCTAGGGTGAGTATGTACCATTAGTATTATAGTAGTAGCATTCACTATTACTTCTGCAGAAAGTCTAAGAACGATAATTTCGCACGGATCACAAATTCAATCTTCGTCTTACTTCCATTTTAAAATTTGTAACTTTGTCTTGTCCAGGATCCTACCGTAACCCTCCAGCCCCTTCGAAACAAAGCTTGTTTGCTGCCTCAATTGCATCGTGTGAATGTGGTCCATTTATGGCAGTGAAAAACTGGAATCTACGCCACGCCCCTTTTTGTCAACACTTACCTACCATTCATTCAATCTACAGTACCTATGCCGTAATATAGCTAGAACTTCATCTGCTTTCGGGGTAGAACCTTTCCAATAAAAAGAGAAATACTATCTCCATCACCTTAACATTTCAACAGTCCAGGTAATGTAAAAGCAAAAATAGCAGGTCCCCAGAAGATTGCGGTCCTCGATACGATTTTCGATGTGATTAAGGTAATCTTCATATCTCCACAATAAATTGTGCATCTGTTGAGAGTTTGAAAATTTAAAAGAGCAGCAGGAGAGCAAAATCGGTATATTACGTGATTGCTGAAACATGGTCGATCTTGGACCGTTTTTGACCACGCCCATATGCTATCCTAGTGTTATTTGAGATACTCGTTCCTTTCGTTTTTGTGTTTGAATAAACAGGCGAATCAGTCTATAGAATCATCGTATCAGTTTAAAATTCTTCCTGCTCCTCTAGTGGCAAACTCTCGAACTGGTATTGATTTTGCGCGCGCTCAATCGATATCCATTAAGAACTTAAACGTTCGATGGAGGTCTGTTTGAAGTATGAAAGGAAGCTATTCATGGTAAAAACTCTACACTAATTCATTTCTATTTCAAGGTTGGGCTCTCACATGAGTGCCGAAACAAAACGACCGAGCATGACCAATGTACCCTCGCAACAAACATGTGAGCATCTAATTTATCTTCTAAATACATTGATTATTAGATAAATAAATAAATAAATAAATAAATTATTATAATTACTATAATATCGTGATTGAAACTTTTGCTACGTACTGACCGATAGGAAACTGCTTTGAATTTTCAGTGGAACGCCTTAATGGAATGTTGGAACGGCCGGTGTCCATGACAACTCTTAGCCAGACCCTACGTGGTTTGACCAATCCCTATGAGAAGGAACACACGAAAGGGCAGGAGGACACCATCTTTGATCTGTTCAAGATCCCTGGTAAAAACGAAGCTTCAATCGGACGATTGCTTACAGTAAGTTTCTTTTTTGACATTTTCCCTCCTCAAAGTGTAAAGCCTGACTGTCTGTAAGACTGACGTACTTTTAAGGAAAACTTTTAAGGATTTTAGTCACCCATGGTTTTCGTTTTCGCGTCTGCTTTTTGCAAACGTAATAAACTAGGACTTAAGTTTAACTTCCAATGCATGCGACTCGGCGCTGAGTACTGCTAGGAAATCAATGCGTATCAATTCTACTTCCGCTATGTTGCTCAAGTCGCCAACTCTAAACCCTCTTCGCGTGAAGGTGGTACTCAGGAGGAACAAACCAAGTTTTCTATTTGTCTAGGTGCTCAAAGCGTTTGGTCTCCGTATGGAAGATCCTCGGCTGAAACCGATGATGCGAAAATTAAAGCAGATTGAAAAACAAGAAGAAGAAAAGATGAAAGAAGTCCTCGAACCGAAACATTGGAAACTGAACAGAGAGCAGTTTAAAGAGTACGTGAATTAGATATCTATTGATTGCTTGATGAACCTCAGTGATAGTGTCGAAAAACAAGATCGCATCGAGTGTTTCCTATTAAGTGATTGCGTGATGACTGAACAAGATCGACTTTATTACTCTGTTTTACAGAGCTGAGAGGATCTTTATGGCCACATAATAGTTTAGTGGTCGTTCTTAGCTAAACTATAAAAGTGTTTACATAATAACACCCGCAATAGGGGACGTCGTGGAAACGATAAACAACAATGGTGTTAAAGGGGAAAAGAGTTCTTCTGATCCTTACAATTCAGTTGCTAATTCTTTTGCTGGGGGATATGCAGACAATTTTTTCCATAATCACGTTGTTGAGACCTTCATGTCGTTTTACTCAGAGAACTTGAATATGGCACACGTAACAAAACTAATGAAATTCAAATACCTGCTGTTTGGCACGCCCACTGCACAAGAACCACGCCCCCTTTCAGCAGCCACGCCCATAGCAGGAATTCTGGCTTAATTTCAGATGTGTTGCGTGCAGTGTGAATTTGATCGTACAAGCATTACAAAACAACCTTGTTATCCCTTCTTGGGGTGCATTTGTCGATCAAATCCGAGTTTTCTACAATGAAGTAAGTTTCAAATGTTTTTCAGCAAAAAAAAATTGGAAAAAAAGTAAATCTCATACTCATTCACAAAAAAAGCTTAGTGAGTTGACCAAAATTTACTTTTGATGGTCTTGAATAGGAGTTTGTATATTTACAGTGTCGGGAAATTACCGACGGCACTGTGGCCAGCTACATTCCTCAACTGGCACGGCAATCACCTGATCACTGGGGAATATCGATTTGTACTGTTGACGGACAACGAGTAGGTTACTTCGATATTTTGGCTCGAGAAAGTCCAGAAGGAAGTAACGTACTCAATAATTATAAAAACAACTTCCTCCATGCCTTATTTTGCCTCAAATTTTGTGATACGAAGGGGTATGACGGCAGACAATTGCGATGGGCTCGATATTCATATAGTAATGAATTTTACATTGTAATTCAGTAGCTTGTACTGTATAAAGTAGTTACTGTCGTAGTTTTTTTAGTCTTCCTAGAGTTTATAGTTAGTTTCTGGAGTGGTGAACGAGTTTACTCCCATCTACATCCGCTTGGCAATGAGATTTCCCCTTAGGAGTTCCGTCTAGGATGAATAGAGAACTAGAATTTATCAAAGAAATTGTTCTTTCTCAGATATCCTTCGGCGATTCCAAAACTCCATTCTGTATACAATCAGTTTCCAAGGCTTTCAACTATGCAATCGCTGCATCGGATCTTGGTAAGTGTTGTGGACTGATATTTTTCAAAATACGTTCCTTTGGAATGCGCCATGCATTCGACCGCTTCCTGAATCTCTGGAAATCCCGATGTTTCTTTGTGTTTGAAAAAAGCTTCTCATTCGGTAATCTGTCACGGCTTTGTAGTCATTTAGTACTTGCTGATATAACTCGAGTGCATGGCGCATACTGGAGAAACGATCTTCCTAATTCTCAGCCTAACTATCCAATTCAATGCTTCTGTCAGGCGCCGACTACGTGCATTCATATGTTGGACAAGAGCCAAGTGGACGTCTTTTCAATGAAATTTGTCTCGATGCGAAAAGTAAGTCCAGCCTCAGTTCGGTTATCTATAGGTCATAATAGCTTCAGAAAACCACTCTGATAGAGGCCGTTATATCGTTTGGAAGACTGTCGCTTCTTGACAGGGTCTATTTTGGTGCCATAAATCTTTATCATAAATAACAAGTGTTTTCCAGACAAACCTCATAACCCAATGGTAAACTCGGGTGCTATTATTGTAACAGCGCTCATCAAAAATACTTGGAATATGGCTGATCGATTTGATTATGTAGGTCCCAACAATCATTTCAAAGCTGATGCTATTTCAATTGTGATAAAGTATGATTCCAGGTGATAACACAGTATCGAAAGATTGCCGGAGGGGAGTACATAGGTTTCAATAATGCTACGTGAGTTAAAACTGATTCATCTTCCGAGAAAGTAACGAGTTTTGCTATTTGTGTAAGCTGGTAGCTTATGAAAAAATTCTGGAAGAGGGGGGGGGGGGGGGGGGNGGGGGGGGAGGGGCATGAGGTAGCATGGGTTATGAGCTGCCATGGTCGCGACACTGGAACTACGTCACCGCTCGTGTTGACAGTGGATGGCTCTGGCATAAACATCTTCACCGTGAGAATGTCTTTGCCATTCTGTTTCTGCCAAAATTGAGAATACTTCTATCTCTCTACAAGTATATAGACATCTTGTGAAAATCTGTGAACACCTTTGGGCCGTCCCACCGAGGCCGTTCCGCATCGGTAGGAGCTCGGTAGGGCCACCCAGCCGGCGTGAGCTAGGTGACCGGGATCTTCTGCCCACTTGCTGATGCACCCATCTGCCACACGGACATGGTAGGCCTGGACTGTCCTGGTCTCCTTGCGTCCTTCCACGAGCTGGTACTGTCTCCGCATGAGTTACTCGCCCGGTGCCACATTCCTTCAAAGCGCTGGCCGCGTGGTTCTACAAGTTTCCATCCGGTACCCAGGTTGGCTGCGATATAAGAGTGATACTACACTTCACTAAGCACACATGTATGATTATGTAAGTCTATGAGCAACGAGTATGGATAAAGGGGATAAATATTATGGTAAATGCGAATAAATATGATTAGCTAATACTGCGAAAAATTCTGTCTAAATGAGTATGGAAAAATACATACATATACATAGATTAATACCACATCAAACCTAGGACGAGGTACGATCTTGCTAACTCTCAATCCGGGCCGTCCAATCCTCCCAGCCTCCTTGTGGTACGTGTAGTACTGCTGCTCCTTGGTCCTTCCATAGCTGCAGACCATCCCTCCGGATCTTCCATGCGCGACGCAGACTTGGCAGCAGTTACATGATTGGAGATGACAATACTGTGGTGCCGCGGATCCTAGGAGCTGCGCCGATGGCGTTGACGTCTAGTGCGTACAAGGAGCCGAGATGACCAGGCTGCTCCGACGACGACGGTGACGAGACTTTAGGATGCAATCGTCTCGTGATGGCATGAGCAGCCAGAGTCCGTGGCTAAGTATCTGAAAGCAATCTGAAAGCCAGCTAGTGCAGCCCCTCTCGCTCTCTGCGGCGTACTGTACCTTCCCGGCGGGACCAAGGTGCGCGCCACACAAGCGGACCTATGAACCCGAACAGAAAGCACGACAATCTCTCACTGTATATGCCTTGGCTCTAAGAATCCCCCTCCCCCAAAATACCTTCTTTTTTCCTTTTTCTCTATATGCTAACTTTCTTTTCCGATAACAATTAATTCCTACTCACTCAAATGAAGATTGGTACATCCTCATTAACTGGAACAATATGCTTTCAGATTTCTCTCTGAAAGGGCTACAGCCGATCGAAACTACGCACTGTCGTACTATATGAAAGAGAATAAGTGTTTTCCTCCTGAGGTAAATTTTTTCTCCTGTGGTAAGATTTTTCGTTATCCGGGCTCTTCCTGTGGTAAGATTTGTACATCGTCTGGGCTCTCAAAAATAAGGGAAGACTATGGTCTCACATAGCCTACCGCTGTTTATACCACCCCTTCTATCTTGAAAATTCGACACTATTACAAATTGCGACCGTAGAGTGATTGAAAATGCTGATCCCATGGTTATTTTCGTCTTATCGGTGGCTTGGTGCTTGCAATCCAAGTGGACGCTTGTCAGATTGATTGCCCTTTACCCAAGTTAGTAACACCAATGAAAATATGCTAAATTCAGACCAAGTCGCTGACGGATGCTATCGACTTCTATTTCCAACTCTGCTCAATAGAAGGCAACTGTGAATCGCTTAGTGTAATGGCGGCCACACTGGCAAACGGAGGTTTCATTCGATTTTTTTTCGATTTCCAAATCAACAGCAACTGTACTGTACGGTATTCAGGAGTATGCCCTATAACAAATGAGAAATGTATCGATTCAAATCCATGTCGGGATGTACTGTCGCTGATGTATAGCTGTGGTATGTACGATGCATCGGGACAGTTCTCATTCTCGGTACGTTACTCTTACAAGTTTAGAGCAGCCATCAAAGAGTTCCCATATGGACGCTTATATATGTGCCAATCTAGCTAATTTCCTCAGTTTTAAGGTTGGGCTACCAGCAAAATCTGGTGTGTCAGGTGTGATGATCGTAGTGGTACCGAATGTGATGGGCATTGCTCTGTGGTCCCCACCATTGGATCGGATGGGGAACAGCCGTCGTGGTGTCGAGTTCTGCAAGGTCAGCATGTCTGCTCCAGTGAATACGGTTCATGTACCTATGAACAAAAGTCGAAAATCAGCTATGTGATCTGTCTCTCTTTGCAGAAGCTTATCGCCAAGTTCAACTTTCACAATTATGATTGTCTCCTGCATACGACATCAAATAAGATCGACCCGAGGCGACGAGATTTCCTTGAACGCGACGCTGTAATGCCCGCAATGTATGTGGCTCGATCGAGGGACATGGTGGCCTTACGCAGGTAAGGAATTCCGCTCAATAGACTTTAAGATGCCTGTGGTTTACATGTTGGTCCTGCAATGATCGTTCTACCTTCTCTACTGTTGTATACAGTCCGAGGACTGCTGAGAAGTAGCGATATGGTAGCGATTGAATGCCAGCAAGCTCTTTCCGGAAGCGATGTGAGACCGGTAGCTCAGCGCTCGCCGTAACTACCCAGGATCGGCGCTCGCACATGCCAACCAAACCTACAATCCCGTCAGGGTCTTTCAGTGGGTATCGGACTCCTTTGGAAGAATGGTACACTCGTGAAAACCTTGTCTACAAATTCATCCATTCTTTGGAGCTAACCCATTTTGTTGTCAAAGTACTTCTTAGAGGAAAAACCAAGTCGGGAGACAGAAATTTGTTGCGTTGGACTGATCAAAGGGAGTTTCAAGCCACTGACTGTCTTTGCTTCATCACGTTCTGGCTCCTCATGAAGGTAAGTTTCACAGCGAGCCCTGCACGTCCTTGAAGCACCACCCCGGCATCCCATCTCACTCAAACGGAAGGTTAACCACGGCGTCAACGAAAAACCTGTCCCTTACCGCAACATATTGCCCTCGAAGTCAGTATTGTTGTTGTTGGCCTGATACAACGTTGCCAGTAGACTTCATAATTTCGTTACAGATTATATATGCAAGGCGTAGACCTGTCTACCTGTGACTATGACCGTCGTACTCCTCTACATGTGGCTGCCAGTGAAGGTGATCTCAATATGGTGAAATTTCTTGTGAACGTGGCCAAGGTGGATGTAGACGCCCGAGACAGGTATGTACTTTAGACTTCTGCTGGAAGCTGTGAGGGTCCGAAACCCCTGAACTTCGAATTCAGCTCCAACGAATTCCTCAGTAGGTAACGTCCCTACTATTTGTAGGAAACCCCGGTAGAGCCATTCAATCAAAAAACCTTTCTAATATATTTCGCTTAGATGGAATCGATCCGCTCTAGACGATGCTCGATTCTTCAAACACTCTGCCTGTGTTGACTTTTTGGAACGTGCCGTAGCTCGGGTAAGGAATTCAAGCCGTTTAAATTCGTAAAAGTAAATGGTAATCGTTCGTTATTTTCAGCCAGAAGCACGGCGTAGCCAATCGATCTCTTCTGAAGATTCTGAATCGGAAGATCATCCGTTCGACATCGCTCAACGACCCCTGTTTAGTCTCGACACCTCGGAGCAGCAATGATATCAGTCTCATAGAGTTCTTCCAAAAAGCTAATAAAATATTCTATTCTACTGTAAAATCTTCGAATATCGAAAATTTTATCCTCCAGGAAAGCGGTGCTGCTGTTAGCTTTTCCCACTTCCTGAGCCGATGTACAACTCAACGGTATATTGGTCCCGCTGCTTGCGACGTATGAAACCAGGTGTGTCATTCACCGAGGGGCATTGAAGTCATCGGAGAAAAGGGGGACGGTTGATTTTGCAAGCTTCTGCGGTTAACGAATGATGCATTTTTGAGTAGTTCTCAAATGCGTACGCTCGGTCCAAAAATGTCTGGTTCCTTGGTTTATACTGTCATCCAGAAGCATTCCCTTTACCTTCTTACTGTACTAGGAACGAAAAATGACCTATTTCTTGTTAGACTAGGTGGGGGCTACGAGCTGCTAATCTTCAACTTTCTAAACCTCAAGGGATCCTTTGACATGAACATTCCAAGACTGATGTTATGATTTGCTGAGGAGATCGTGAGTGGGGAGTCCTGGAATGCTAAAGTTAAATGGCTGGTGTAGGCAAAACCCTGTGTTCCACAATCTACACTTGATATAAAGTTTGCCAACCTATTTTGCAGGTATGGCCCAGTTTGAATGCGCTCTCATGCAACGATTCAAAAATTTCTGGCGTAGCGCTGCGAATCGAACCCGTCACCTCATAAAAACGAGTTCGACCCTCATCCGCTACACCGCGAAACCACACTGCTTCGCCTTAGCCCTCGCCTATTTCGACCTGCCAGTCAGTTTGATGGCAGTTTAAGCCCACTTCGGCTTAACCGACATGTCCGATGGGAAGGCGGGGAATTCGGCTCAGCAGGACCGACCCACACCCCTTTATTGGATGGAGTGAGGGCTCGGCCTTGTTGAGCCGAACTGCCCGCCGGCTCATCGTACCTCCACCAGCGTATGTCATGCTGGTTGGTCTTGTAAAATTCACTGATTC